TCTATCTATCTATCTATCTATCTATCTATCTATCTATCTATCTGTCGATCTATTTATCTATGTGTATGTTTGTGCACATGCATGTGTGTGAGCATCAGGGTCTCATAATATGGATTCCATGGCTGGTCTTGAACTTGCTGTATAGTTTAGGTCAGTCTCAAATTCTCAATCATCCCAGGTCAGCCTCCTAAGTGCTGGATTTGAAGGCATGTGCCACCATCCCTAGCAGCTAATTCTTTTAACATTTAACCTAAGGGTTGGGGAGATGATTGCTTGGGTAAAAATGCTTGCTTCATTTTGTGAGCATGCTAGTCAGAGACACAGAGGAACATGTTTGTGTCTTTCTAATATATCACAGTTTTTTGAAGAGCAATACATTCTCAAGACCCAGATGTTTCAATGACAGCAGCTTGAAAGATCATCCTGGTAATCTGGCTGAGGTGAATGTAGGGTTTTTTTTTTCCAAGACAGGGTTTCTCTGTGTAGCTTTGGAGCCTATCCTGGCACTCACTCTAGAGACTAGGCTGGCCTCGAACTCTCAGAGATCTGCCTGCCTCTGCTTCCCGAGTGCTGGGATTAAAGGAGTGCGCCACCAATGCCTGGTGAATGTAGGTTCTTTTATTCCAGTTTTAATTAACTCTCATGTCACACATCACACATGGTAAAAATATATGCATATATGTAGTTTATGGAATGAATGCAAGTTAAAGAGGCTGCAGGAGAGTACGAAAACTTTCAGAAGTATGCTGGGAGAGTCTATTGACTCAGCCACATCAGTGCTGGGAGATGGCTGAAGTAAGGGTTTGAGAGCAAGGCTACAGAGTTCAGCTGTATGGTAAAAGCCTGAACCCTGGACTAAGAGCAGGAAATTGCAGTATCCTAATTTGTACATTGGTTTCCATTGCTGTGGTAAAGACCATGACCAAAAGCAACTTGGAGAGGAAAGTGTTTATTTCATGTTATAGCTTCCAGGTCATCATGAAGAGAAGTCAGAGCAGGAACCTAGAGGCAGGAACTGTAGCAGAGGCTACAGAGGAGGAACATGCTCCCCATGGCTTACTTAACAGCCTGGTTTCTTTTAACCACTTAAGGCCACCTGTTCCATTGTGGCCTCCCCCATGGCTGCCCCCTCTTCATCATTTAGTGAATCAAGAGAATACCTCACAGAGCTGCCTACAGGCAACATGTTGGTGGCATCATATTCTCAGTGAAGGTTCCTTCTTCCTAAGTGACTCCAATTTGTGGCAAGTTGACAAAAACCAGCATGGGCTGTTTCAGGTCCAGGTTCACATGAGTGGATGGGCAGGCAGTTGAGTAGACTGAGTCAATAGAGGGGACCCTCTTGGAGCTGAAGCTCCAGTGACAGTTGGGGAGTCCTCTGCTTGTTGATCCTGTACATACTAGTTAGTCATCAGGTGATAGGTTGGTGTGACAACATACAATCAAAATGTTAGCTATCCACCACTTTATAGTATCTATTTGAGGGAGTTATACTCTGGTATAACTTTTTACTTTTGCTCTGGTGTGTCTAATAAGTTCTTAGGTCTGGTTTCCCTGATGGGATTTTTATATACTCATATGCCTCCACACTCTCAGTTCACTGCAATAAATGTATAGGGTGGTTCCTCCTTGACTTCCAGTCATCTA